ACTGATAGAGTACAGTGTAACCAAGTGAATGCAAGGTATTGTTTCTATAAATTGGTCACAGTTGCACGAAGATAAAGTGGTGCCATCAACAATCATTCCCATACCACTTATTGCGTATCTATACTCTGTCATGACTTTGTGTATAATATCTTCGGTAAAACGTACAGTATATTCTCATCTATCACCGACCGAGCCGCATTGTAATCAAAATTGAACTGTAAATCAAAACGTATGCTATCTGCTTCAAGTAGTTGCGCCAATTCCAAAAGAGTCACTTCTTTTCCCCCAAACTTAAGTTTAAAGACTCCAAAGTATCCTTCTATCGCATTTGAAGTTGTTCTGTTTGAAATACGCTCTGTGACGCTTGGTCTCCAGCAGTCCATCACATTAAGTAAACCTTGGATTAATCGAATTTTATTTTTAGTACGGTCTTCCTTTTTTTCGTTTTTATTAGCTATTTTTAATTCATTAATTATTTCAAATAGTATTTGTCTATCATTTAATATAATGTTATCACTTCCTTCAATTCTTTCATTTTGATCAGTACTAAGATCTGAGCCACTCATCGTCATTAACGTTTTGACAAAGTCTGTTTCTGATACCGTTTTATCAATCATTTGATACCACATATGAACAATATTTGACCTTTCACCAAAGGCAACGATAAGATCTCTTGCAATATGCCTGTGACAGAAAACGAATTTGATTCCAGAAAAGACAGAAGAAAGTGCGGAAATCTGTGACATACACCTATCACACACAACCAAATTAAATATTCTAAATTTAGAAACGAATTTGAACAAGTTTAAAAACGAATCAGTTGTTCTATCTCTTAATATACCATAAAAAATAATATGCGTTTTATTTTTTTCGTCTAAAGACACTGCTACTATTAAAGGCAAATTGAATACATTAGTTAAAGCTGTATCATCTATAAACATTCTATTTGAATAATCAGTTGAAATTTGATTGACGTTGAAAGCAAAAAAAGAAACAAATTGTCCTGAACTGTTTTTGGTGAAGTGAGTTGAAAATTGCATTGTTTTTTCGGCGTACAAAAATAGTTGTTGTGTTTGATCTGGTGAATATTTATTGAATGAAGATGAAATAAGACGTCGAACTACTGATGGTTTAACTGCAAGATTCATTGTAGTGACAATTTGTGAAGGGGAATAATGTATCATAGCTAGTTTTTTCATCTCATTTATTTGTTCCTGTGAAAAAATAATTCTCATGTGTAATGGAATATCCGTCGTAAAGTTGTGGGAGTGATTGTTTGTTATAACAATATGTTTAACCATTGTTTTATTTTCATTCAAATTCAAACAAATAGTACAATAACATTTTTGGTAAACACAACGGAATGTCTGTTTGAGTTTTTGTGAATCGCTGTTTTTAGTAACAAAAAGAGAAAATGTCTGGTTAGCAACAGAGATAGCTGAAGCCTCTGCCATTGTTTTTGATTGGGTTTTGAAGCTGTAGGAAATAAACGCATTGGCTATTGAATCGATGATGTTGTCTGGGGTTTCAATCCCTTCTTTAACCAAATAAGGATTGCCTTCTTTGGTTTTTACATCGAAGGTAAAAAGTACTTGGATTTTGGTTGAGTGTTCTTCCATTTAGTAATTAAGAGTTTAAGATTTGTTAATATTAAAAGTGTGGTTTATTTAATTATTATATAATTTAGTGTTTTAAAGTTAAATATAAATCAAAACGTTTACTTTGCGCCAAAACATGCGACAAAAAAAAAACAAAAAAACAAAAAAATGACGTTTTATATAAAACTTTTTATTTGTTTTATTTTATTAGATGTAAATGAGAAAAAGAAAAACCCTATTTTTTTCAAGACTCAAAAAACAAAAAATACAAAAAATGTTTTATTTTTATATAAAAAATATGTATTTATAGCGGGGTGTGGGTGTAAAAGGTAAGTCCCTAAAAAATCAAATTATTTAACATTAATTTATAACATATATTTTAGTAAAAAAAAAACATTTTGTATTTTAATTGTGTTAATTTTTAATTTAATTTTTTATAGTTTTAAAAATTGTTAATAATTCCCAAATTTTGAAATATTATAAAACATTTTGTATCCCATTTACACTACATTTTGTGATGTCCAAATTGAATGAAAATTTGTTTTAATAAACAAACTCAAATAATTAACATAACAATGATTGAATATGAAATGGAGTCAACACACAATGATATTGAGTCTCTTAGTGACAAAATAGAATCAGAGAAGACACACCAGTATGACATTTCAAACATCAAATACATGATATTACTAATTCTTTGTACAGTGTTACTTGTTTGTGTCTTACTCTTTTGTGTCCAGCTTCACTTCAAGGAATTACACTAATCCAATTTTTGTGACTTTATTACAAAACATCCCAACATATTAATTATTACATGTTCCAATCTACTATATCCGCAAATGGGTCTCTCACCTCGTCTTCCATCGCAACTTCAGTCGACATTCTTCTATAGCATGCATTTCGTTTCTCAATCGACGTATCTGGCAACAGTGAACACACACTATCCATCAACTCCCTTGTCTCCTCTCTCAAGTCGTCTATTTGTTTGATATCCTCTTGGTTCGTGACATTTCCCTTATCCGACGCATTTTCCACGGTGTACACTGTTTGTAGCACCTCTTTGACATGCTTCAAAAAACTGAAATACCCACTCACAACTACTCTGTCCTTCAACCCTATCTCTTGTAAACACCCGTCCAAGAACTCCGAGTGCATATCGCTCAATTCTTTCACCGTCTTCTTCTCTTTCTTGATAAAAGTGTCCCACTTCTTTTCTATCACATTACATTCACATTGTATCATTATCTCTTCAAGCGCTTTCATACACTCTGAGACCAACAAGTGTAAGTGGAACCGGAGTGAAGCATACCTCACCTCTCTCACTAAAGGCAATGACGTATTTGTCATCTTCTTCATTGTCCGTGCAAGTAAGTACCTATGGTACTCCAAGTCAAACAAGAACCTGAAGATGACTTGATACCTCTTTGTCGCGTTGTCGTCGACAATCAACGACAAAGGAAAAGGTATTACATTTTCAATAGTCACCACTTCGAACATGTACCTCACTCCATCTTGTACATTCTCGTCAACAAACTTAGCAACACAATCTTTGACAAATGAAATTGAGATGGACGAAGGGGGGATTTTAATCCCTTTCAACTCAAAGAGAAGTGAATCAAGCACTCTGTATGAAGTCGGCATCTCGTCCTCGTGGAAGTATTTTCGTGATAAAATCCCATGGGAAACATCGAAAAAGTTGAAGTAAATAGTAGGGTTTCCAAACAAGTACGTTTCTCTCAAAATGTGGTATGTGGAATCGATGTGACATTGTTGAAACACAATGAACAGCGCCTTATTCACAGCGTCCGATTGTTCTCGGATCATTGCCTTCATTTTCAGTGGTGAGAAAATGACGTTAGACTCCAGTTTGAGTATCGGAGTCTTTGGTATTTCATCTTCTATTTCAGGCGCCTGTTGCAGTAACATTTGTTGGAATAATTCAGTCTCGTGTTGTTTTCTGTATTGTGCAATAGAACGGAGGTATTGCCCCGTTTGGAATATGACCATTGCATGAGGCGCCAAGAAAAAGGGGACTTCCTGTTCGACATAAATTGGGGCATTGTTAACTGGGCGAATGAAGAACTCGTCATACAAGAAGTCTCCATTTGACATCCACCCCGAGACAAAGGCAAAAAGTGGCTGACTTGTCTTTTCAAGCAACTTCTCTATGACCCTTTCAGACGTGAGATTTCCTCCAAACAATATCTTTTGTTCTGCGAGCACATTAAACACAGCAGCGGGTATTTCATCGCCAGAGATATGTGTAATAACACTGCAAATTGGTTTCAGGGTTTGCAACGATTTCATCAACTCCACAACAACTTCTTGGAGTGTCCAGAAATTTATACGAGCTTCTTTCTCTAAATCGCACACCTTTGTTACAAACTCGTCCCGAAACTCTAATATCCCTTCGCATAATGCTTGTTGCGTTGGACCTTTGTGGTCTTTACTCAAATATTCTAAGACTATAGAATACTCTTCTACTAAGGAAACTACTTTAGTAACGATTTGTTGAAGGCGACTGTCGATCGTATTCATCACTTGGCCATAACGCTTCATTTGGTCGCGGATAATCTCGATACCTTCGCTTGCAAAACACAGACACATCCCAAAGATTCCTTTGATCAACGTCGACTCTTGCTCGTACAGAGGACGCATCTCCCGGTTCGACACAAAACGACACCTCTTCTCAGGAATAGACATGTTAATGTTTTTTTCTGTTCTTCTCTTTTCCATGGTTCGGCCAATTTTTTATTGTCCCAAAATTGTGTCCCTGTTTTTCATTACGGACTAAAAGTACTATTATTGTGTTAAAAATCCTAATTTGATAATTATCATATTTTTGTTAAGTTTTTTAAAAATACATTATTTCAATGCATAATCAAAATTATTCTAAAAATATCAAACTTCTTGAATACAAACGATTAAAAATGTGATTAAATAATATTGTTAATAGACAAATATTGCAAATTGATACCAAAAATGAAGATTTTTTATAATATAAATTTTATAAAAATTAAATCATATATTTTTTCTAAAGCTTTTCTATTTTTTAAAAATAAATATTTTTTTTTGTTTTTTCAAACAAACAAAAAATGTATAATATAAACAATAGTAAAATATATTAATGAAAAAATCATATACAGTCAAAGGCGTCTATTTGTCGTAAATATAATTGTCGAAAATTTATCAATATAATTGTTAATAATTTAATTGTGTAACTACTTTTATATACACAAAGTATATCAAAGTATACTTTTTCGGTTAATATCTTTTTGTTAATAATTACATATAAGCGAGATATTATTTTCAATATTTTTAAATGTTGTTTTATTGTTTTTCATATTTAAACACATAGCAGTAAACATGTATGTATTTTATTTACACGACAATATTAATGATAACGTTGAATAGAAGCATTTATAAAATATTAATTTTCAACAATTTAACAACAACATTTTGTGTATATTGTTATATTGTTTATTTCTACACTTTTTATTTAAAAAACGTTACAATATAAAACGTGGTAATTTTCACTGTGTAAACATGTAACATCAAACTAAAACTTAAATGATAACACCAAAATCAAAATATTATCATATTTTACAACAATTTTTGTGTCAGACTTGTGGCTCATGTGTACCTTTACAAAAGATTTTGAAATGAATTTCTCGTAGTTCTTAGGATTTAAAGGAATAGATCCAATACAGTTCGTTTTTAATAAATACACATTCATTTATTTGTATTAAAAAAATTAAAAAACATCACACTGTATTTCAACAATTATTTGACAATGGTTTAAAGCGGGATATTTCAATTATATAAAAAACAAAATTGAATTATTTTACCATTTACAAATAATTGTTATAATAATTATTTTCCAGACTTTAATAATCACCATTAAGTTGTGTTTTGACAACGTTTGTTCAACACCCATTTTTATTATTTTATTTGATTGTTATTTAACGTTAAACAACAAGTATATTGTTTGTTAAAATAATTATATTAATTATTGATTCGATTGTTTTTTATATTTCTTGTTTTCATTTTCATTTTCATTTTCAAATTAGTAAATTTGGTTAAAGCAAAAAACAAATAGTCAACATATAAATAAAATTAAAAAAAATCTATTTATATATGATTTAATTAAAATGGTTGTTGAGTTAACATTTCTTAGTTAAACTTTAAAAATAAATTCGGTTATCATATTAATATCATTATATATTTATTAATTTAATAAAAAAACAAAAAAATAAGATTTAAAAAAGATGAAATAATAAAAATTATTATTTCTTCTTTTAATAATAATGATTATTATTATTTTAAATTGGGATATTAAAAAAGAAACAAATAATAAAATTATATTATTTTATAACCAAATCACATTTTCTTTGTTAGGCTTTACACCCGAAATATTATAATCAAAAAATAATATCAAAAATGCTAATAAAACGGGAAAAATATTTTACCCGTTTTATTAGCGGTTTTCAATACTACTTTTAGATAAAAATATTTCGGGTGCGAAGCTGAGTCTTAATAACTGTATTAAAAATCAAACAAAAATCAAATAAAATGTATTGAGTGTAAAGTAAGTTGTTCTTCTTTTGTTTTTATATTGTTAATAAATACAACTTTAATAATCAATAAAAAAATTTACCCACAATTGTCTTGTTTGTTTGATAAAAATTGTGTGGTTTATTTTATTATCATAAAGTCGATTTAAGATACAATATACTTGTTATAACTCAATAAAAACTAACAAACAAACTCTGTTCAAAAACCCAATCAAATTAAATAAACTAATTATTCGACCTCATTTAACTTGAAAGAAATAAAACTTATAAAAAAAACAAATAATATGTTAGATATCTTACTCACAAAATGTAGAGCGTGAGTGGGATATAGCTCTTTTATTCTGGTATCGTCAACACGGCTTTACTACAATTGTACATCAATCATGTCAAGTACGTTAGTGTGAACAGACTATAGGTGTAGTGAGTGCAACACGATTAGCGAGTGCAATATATATATATATCAACGAGTTAAACACAATTATTGAAAAAATAACAAGTGATGATATCTGTGCCTTAACAACAAACAACGTGTTTCTGAAATGAACATGTGGTCATTGCGTGATTTGTGTTTGATTAGAAACACGTGCTGTATTCGTGTGATAACAAGAAATGGTTGTAATACGAAGACTACTTTGTGCATGCGAATGACAAGTGTGGTTTAAATTAAAATCAAACTCTATCGCTAATTATGATGTTGTCAGTCATCATAAGATATGTAAAGAAGAAATTATACGTGACATATCATATGAGTGCAAAGAAAATAATATAAAAACTATCTGAATATAATTTTAACAACTTTTTGAACAATCAATCAACACCAACTTTGGCCTTTAGCAAAATATGAGAGTTTGTTTAGAAAGTGTGACAATAGATATTTATGAAATTGCAAAGTTAACTAGTTGTGCAATGTGCAAAGTATATAGTGGTATTACACCATGGGGTTGATTCTGAGTTATGTGATAATAACTATAAGAAGTGTGTCACGTATGCCACGAAATACATATAGTGCTAATTTTGGTATGATTATAAAAATAATTACAGTCACATGAGTGATTTTATAAAAATTTTATTTGCAAAATTTGAGTGAAGTTGGATGTGCAAATGGTTATTTTTCAAATTGATAAAAGTATGATTTCATCTAAAATTGATTTTTCGTTTAATTTGTGCCAAAGTTGTGCAGCAGATCACGTTTAAGTCAAAAAGAAAGGTGTATATTATATGACAGTGGATTACTGTATGAGTGCAGCGAATATTGTGTATTTGCAATTGAGAAAATGAAAGAAGATGAAAACAGTAAAAAACTATACAAGAAAACGTTAAAGCAGTTGACGATCAATTAAATTAAATTGATACACGTGTTGGTGTGTTGAAACTGAAATAACAACTGGTGTTCTTTAATGAATATTTGAGTTTTTCAAATACAGTTGTTAATTTCATATTTTGATGACGAGTCGTTTTCATCTTTGAAAATAACCGTTCGACACCCATTGTCGTTGGGAAAATGGTCATCATTTTTACAACAAAACTTCGTAACTTTGAGAGTTTCAATTCTTTCAATGTTGTAAAAATGTCGACCAGAGTGAGCCCGTATTGGTAATTGGTCAAAATCTCAAGAGTTTGTTGCAACTCATTTTTACTTTTTATGATATTTTTTCTCATTTTTTCAATTTCACTTTCGCTGCAATTTGTTAAATAATTTGTTAATATAACAACTTCCTCTGATAAGTTCTTGTAATTATCAGTTAATGTGATATTCTTCCCACTTAATATTAGTTCAGGAATGTCATTAATAGCCAGAATACTATCAAAACTATAAGGTGTTGGGTTTTTGTCCCAAATAGTCAAATCAATAGTGTAATTTGAATAGTCGACAAGACCACCAATTGTGTTCATGTTGACCGAGTGTGACACATTATTGTATCTCAGAGTTAGTTCAGTCAAAGTCCTATATAATAATTTCAGAAGCAACGAATGGTCGACTTTGAGTACCTTCTCGAGTTCGGCAAAATCTTCAAAGTTTGTTTTTTCAACCTTTTTTATCATCATATCAATATAATCAATAAACACAATAATTCTTCTTGTGTATTCGGGAATTGTTCCATCTTCTTCTTGAAGGGAACTCGAAAAATAAAATAATATTTTGAAATACTCTGTTGTTACCTTGAAAATATTCTTAATTTGTATTTCCTTCATATCAAATTTTGTATATATTATACCATTCTTTTTAAAATATTCAAGTAAATCATTTTGCACATTTTCATTCAAGATATACTTTGATATGGCTTTGTAATTGGAAGTAATATCTTTCAAATTGTTATATATATATATAACCATCGTGTATAGCAATAAGTCGCAATTCCCGATTTTACAATTTTACTTTGTTTTTCGAAGTCGCTAATTCTTTCTTCTTTACAAAACCATTGACAAAAAGATTCTATCATTTTCACTTCTGGTTCCGCGTCGCAACTTTCACCGACTAGATGGAACCTGTGGGCAGAACACCACCATCCTTTTATTGGTGGATATGAGATGTGCGTTTTAGTTGTCAACAAACCCAACTGTACATTAAATTGTTCAACAACGCCTCCATCTACTCCACACATTGTAGCACAACCATCTGTTGTTATACAGTGTAATTTATCCAATGGTATTCCCAGTGATACCAACTCGTCTAGTAACCATTTTGCAACCGATTCTGAGTTTGTTTCTTTTTTCATACTCTTTAAGAATAAGAGGGACAGAATAAAAGTCATTATTTAATTCATACCTCAAAATAACACAATAGATTTCTTTGTGATTTTTGGTGGTTGAGTCAGTTGCGATACAAATGCACCCACAATTTTCCACACAATCCGCAAAATCACCAAAAGAAGAAATGTTTGCTCTTTTAATTTGCCTTCCAACAGATCTTTGACTCAAACTTAGTGATTTTATGTCGTCAAAATGTTGTCTCGAAAGCAGGTAAAAGGCCAAGTACTGTCCAAATCTTACTGCATTGATCTGTGATTCGGATAAACCAGCCTCGATAGAAAGTGAATTTATCAAATACTCAACGATTGATCTTTTGATAATATTTTTATTCTCCGTTTGTTCACTTTCATTTTCGAAAAAATAGTCAATCAAATCTTT